AAAAAAAAAAGGAGTCAAACAAATATCTTCATTTGCGAAAAATGATTTCACCTGGAAATGAAACGAGAATCGGTGCGTTTACGGATATTGGCCAATCTCTTTTAACGGTCTTAAAGGAATCACGACGTTTTAACGAGATCCTCGATCGTATCGGTAGCCACGTTTAACGTTCCCCTTTTCGAGGGTGAGCTTGCGTATTTTTCGAGTTGAAACTTTCTGCCGTAAAAGCGAGCGTTGTAATAGCAAAAATTAAAAGACCGTTTTCGTTTTAAAACACGGCTCGTTCGATGGATCGCCATGGCACGCATAAACGTGGCAAAGAGAAGGAAGGAGTGGACGAAACTGCTCTAATTATTACGTATTCCAGGCTGAAGTAATTATTATACCGGCAAAGCATGAACGTAAAATAAAAGGGAGAAGTGCTTTACAGCTCTTTAGAAAATACCTATCAACCTATACCCGCCACTGTTCAACCATTTTTTACTATTTTCCTTTTTTACGACTTCCAGAGAAATTACTCGCGAAATGTAAATTTTTTATCCTTTTCTCTTTATGCACTATTTTATGTAACGATTCTCAAGAGTTATTACAATTAGCTTGCTCTTCGCTCTTTTAGTTTTCGTTCTTTTTTTTTTTTTTTTTTTTTTTTTATATGCTGCTTCGACGAGATCGTTAATTTTACGTATTCATAATTTTTCTAAAATCGATATCGCGCCCAATTCCGTTTATTATCTCATGAATTGAATATTCATGAACGATTATCGTTATAATTATCTTATATAAAATACTTGATTTTATTTTGAAAGATTTATGTTGAATAAATGAAAAGAAAATAAAAAAGGATTCGAATCACAGTTACGATGGAAAAATTAGATGAATTTATTGTGTGAATGAATGCAAGATTCGTATTACTCGGATTCACAAAGTCAAAGGAAATATCTCTCGTTTCTATTATTTTTTCACTCGGCAGAAGAAGGATTAGTAAATCATTCATAACGCGTGTTTAATAATTACCGTGCTCCGTGCAAATTTGATGACGTTTATAGAATTTTTAATACGCCATGCCATCAAACAGAGGTCCGAAAATTCAAATGACCGGTTGGGTGCAATAACACGGCCATGTTTTTCATCGCGCAACAGTCCACAGTGGCTCGTAATTAACGATTGTAAAACGTAGCCAAAATAATACGCGGCTAAATTAATATTGGATTGACGAGCCTGGGTAATCAATGACGTCCCCAATTTCTATTTCGTTTCATTTTGAACATTTTATAAATAATGTAATTGTAACTTTTGCGCTCTGTCGCTTCTGTATTATTCACTTGCCAACATTTTCTCATAAATTAAAAATAATTTTCGTCTTGCGAAAATCTCTCATTCCCGCGACTTTCCCGTGAACTCGATATACCGATGTACGTACATAATTTAAAACACAACCGTTCGATATATCTAAACCCATAAATCATCCGAGCCAATCGAAATCCACTCGAACGAACGATTTTAAGAACCTGTAATAAATTTTCAATTCAATTTTCAAATTGATCATCGTTCCAGATTTAAATAACATATTTATTTGTACAATCCAAAATTCGGATAATCCAACCTTCCACCGTATCGTCCAATCGTCCAATCTCGACGAACTATCCTCCCCTCTACCTAACCTAAAAAAAAAAAAAAAAAAAAAATACAATCAAACGAAACGAATGATACAGAATGACTTTATATTCCCGTTAACACGAATTAACGATGGAGAGGGGGGGAAGGGATATCGGCATCACGACCGCGTCTAGCTGATTCCGATTTCATTTGGGAGCGGTCACGAGGGAGGGGTCCGTTGATATCCGGGGAAATGAACGAGAAGCGGGGGAGGGGAGAAAAAATACGCGTGAAACCGCATTAGACACCGTCGTGTCCCCCGATTAATAATGGAGCGTGGAGGGGTTGGCTGCAGGACTCGTCGTTTCTCATTAGCAATAACCCCCATCTGACTAACGAGAAGCACAATGATAACGATTTGACGGCTATACCATTAATAGAATATTTGATCACGCGCGTACACACACGATCGCCTCTCCTCCTCCTGCCTCCCCTCCCTCCCTCTCTCTTTCTCCTCGTCCTCGCGTATGTTGCTCGCGTACGCGCAGCCAGAAATAGAGGTGAATTTACTGCCGCTTGTTAGAGACACCCGTTAGAGGGGAGAGATTAATGCGAGCAATTGCAGGCTTGTGTTAATTGATACAGCCTAATCACCATCAGACGCAACGGCGATGGTCATGCTCAACTATATAGAGGACTATAATAATACGGAGGAGGGAGGGGAGGGAAGGGATGGATGCTTGATAATGCTTCGTTCGCTAGTGACTCGATGTTCAATTATTCGTTTACCATCGGATTAGCAGATTTCGCGAACGCTGTTGGACGGCATAAGCCGAGCTTATTCAGGCTTCCGCTCGCATCAAACTCGTGTAAATGTTGAAAGTACCGAGAACCGCTGAAAGTGGCCGTCACTTAGCACAATTTAGATTATTATTATTTCAATCGCTCATTCGATCCTTTCCATCGTAAACGTGGGACGATCCTCGAGAGTTAGGGAGAGGGTGGAAATTATTGGACCACGGTGTTCACCA